GCTGCTCCGTGCCCAGCAAAGCCATGTTGGCCATTCGTAGGTACTGCTGGCTCCCAGCCATTTTGTTTTTTCTTTTCTTTTCTTCTTCTTCTTCTTCTTTTTTTTTTTTAAATTGTATCATATTAGGTATTTTACAGCTGATCATATCTTACAACGTTGAGAAACATTAAACTTGCCTTCGGCATTCTTATCCTGAAATGTGCCGTGATTTTTCTGATGTTACTGGGGAGGGAGGACAGGAAAAGGTGGAAGGAGGGGCAAGGGAGGAAAGAGGAGGGAATCGAATGGACTATTTCTTCTGCTTGGGAGGAAGGGAATATCTGAGGAATGTAGGTACCTGGAGACTTGCTATGCTGTCATGGTATTTGTAGGCTTTCCTTCCCAGTTTCACCACAGAGAAAGTCAAATCTGTTACCTTAGTTTGAATGTGAAGAGTGGGAACACATACATGAACACAATAATATCTGAAATTGAGTGAGGGCAGTGTGAGCAGGGTATTATGTGATATTGCTATAAATACATATATATATATATGGGTATAATTTCTGCATGCGTGTGCTTATATGCGTATGTGTATATGTGCATGTATATGAAAATAAAGGTAATGCTCACTTTTGCTTTATACCTAAGAATTTGCATATATATGGTGAAAGCTGGGCTTGGGCAGTAATGGAATGATTTTTATTGGTAGCATGTAGCAGTTCTTAGCACGGTCCCTGCACATCTCATTTGGGAAGGAAGGGCTCTCCCTTAATTCAGGGTCACGCTCTGACAAGGTGCCAGTGCTCATTTTGAACAGCATGGAGTTGATAAGAGCATTTAGCAGGGTATGACTCTTGTTGTGGATCTGCGCCTCAGTGTTTTTTTTCTTGTAACCTTGACCTTGTACAAGCTCCACTGCAGCCCCTGCCCAGCTTGCCCTTGGCCATGCCTCACTTGTGTTCTGAGGCGAGGCTAAAAGTCATTGTGTCTTTGGGGCTCCCTAAAAGACTATGTGAAACCAAAATGCAGATTTAACCCCACGTGGGAAGTGTAGCCAGCCCACAGGATGTACAGCTATATGTAGAAATAAGTAATCTTAGGCACCCACTGCCTGTCCAGAAAAGCAAGACAGCTTCTCTAGAATAAGCAGGTATCTAAAAGCAAATGAATACGGAATCAAAGTGTTTTGGCTCCAATGCTGTAAAGGCAAAGTTTTTGTCCATCACACGAAGACTTTTTGGAGTCCTCTCTGAAACCCAACAAGGATTTTGTCAATGTATCTCTCTCTGATGGAAGGCACTTCCCTTCTGTGTTAATTTTCCTCAGCAATTCCTCCTCGAATAGAGTTTGCTTCTTTGAAAAGGGCCGTTCACTGTTGATATCCAAGTGATGCCCCCATTGTCTCTTCCAAGGTGTCTTCAAATGTTTTACGTTATTCAAGTTCAGAAGAGCCACCTAACTCCGGTGAGCTAACGGGCTTCAGCTGATTCCTCCTTCTAGAAATGCCACACTGCCAAACTATGGGATGGTGATTCCTGCAGGTGATTTGAAGTCCGGCTGTCCCAGTGAAAAATATGGCAGCTTTTAGGATCCGCACAATGCTTTGTTGCTGGTTTTTGTTTTTAACTACAAAATAGCTACAGTATGATTTCAGTTGGAGACCTATAACTGCGAGTTTCCCCACGCTGCCTGTTCCGTGGAGGAAGTGTTTTGCTCCCTAAATAAGTCAGAAATTATCCACTGCAGTTCTTTGTTCACTTAGCAATCAGCACCTGAACAGGCCCCACATAGCATTTCTGAAGTCTAGGAAAGTCTACGATGTTTTACTTCCCACATAACATTCCTTGTTAAGTAGTTCAGTGAGGACTGGCTTTTTTGGTTTTTTTTGTTTTGTTCTTCTTTAATAATCTTCTTGCTGCATCAATGTTGATTGTGTATAGGCTGTTATATGAAATCCATAACTTGTCCAATCATGGAGTATGTTTTGTCTGTACGTAGTTGAAATGGTTCAACCCACTTAAGAGCTTCCAAGCTGCAAAATGATAGTCCTAATGTTTTGTCTGCTTGGTCAGACTTGTGTGTGGTTGGTTTTTTGCTTTTGCTTTTAACAAGGAGCTGAGTGGGTTTGGTTGTGTTGCGTCTATGTGTGGGAAAGCATGACAGAAAAGTGGAAACGAAGTCAAGACTTTTCAGAGTGGCTGAGTGCCAGCTGCTCCAGCGTTGAGACCCTTTTGGCAGTTGGAAACAGCTTCTAAAATTGTTAATTAAATTTAATTCTTTTCCTGTATCCCCAACTGAATAGAGCAATTAGATAGGCGTGGCTGACCTAAGTTCTTTCTGATATGCCAGGCCAAAATGGGCCGTCCAAATGCATCTTTTAATATCTTGCCTCAAAACTGTAGTACCTGATTACTGTTCCAGGAGTAATTGTAGCATGGACACCGGTGCAGCTGCTATTCCTGACCTTTGCTCTCTCCCTACTTCTTTGAATGCTCTCTGTCTGTTATTTGCAGTTGTTTCCCTTTTCCCTGACAGGTACTATGGTGGAGAATGTCAATATAAGAAAGGTCTTCTGCCTTCCTCCATCTTCTCGTTCCTTGTTTCATTTACCCCCGTTGCTTTCCTTCATCCTACTGCTCCTTCCACCCACTTTGCTTTATGCTTGTTCCAGACTCCCTCTTTTGGGACCTTTCCTTTTTCACACTGAGGAAAGCCTCTGGTTTCCTAGCTTCTTGAGCAGAGGCCGCAGAAGTTGCGTTGCAGTGATTGTGCCTGTGGAACAGCTTCAGGGGGAACTTGTCCAGGTGGCCAACTGGCGTTTGCTTTTCTGGAGCTGCCTGCTCAAGCAGTTTAAAGGATTTCTGCGTATGGCAAATCAAGCTCTGCTTGCACATAGCTACTTTCTTTGTGAAAAGGGGCTCTCGTGGTGTAAGCTTCTCTTTTTAACTGACTCTGTGCAAAACAAGTGCAATTGCCTGTTATAAGATGGCTCATTGCAAGATGCCCAAAGCGCATTTGGCTTGATCCCCAGTGGCTGAGAGGGAAGACTGTTATGGCACATTCGTGTGGTAGTTATGCCTGAGACCTTTGGAAGAAAGCATGGGAAGGGATGATGTACGCTGCTGTAACATAGTATGTCCCAAGGTTGTGTTAGATTTCCTCTAATAGTCACATATACGCGCAGACATATACTCACTCACTCACCTTCCAGTCAAGACTTTACTTCTTCTGTGCTGTTCTCATACCTTACAGGAGGTGGTCCTGACCTTGATATTAGTGGTCCTCATCAGAGCCTTACGCAGGACTTTTGGCTTCTCAGGCCCTCATTCTGCATTACCCTGGACTAATCCCTTGAAACAATGGAAAAGGGATCAGCAGGGTGGTATAGCCATGCTGTAGTGACATGGCCTTGGTAGAAGTGGTCAAGCTAGGTTTAAGGCAAAGAGGATCAGGCTCTCTGGGTTTATGGTCACTCCTCCCTTCCTCATGTGCTCTAGCATCCTAGATATTTGTGTTTAGGATTTGCCAAATAATGAACAAAATATTGCTGAAATGCTATTAGTGTTTCTTACTCACTAACTTTCTGTATTGCTGCTGTGGCTAAGCTGTCTTCTGGCTGTCATGTTCATTAAGTAAGAGTTATCTTGGTGTGTTTATCATAAGCCTTATCAGAAGCATCTCTGGGGGCTGTCCAAATGCATCTTGTGATATGGCTGTATCAACTGAGCCATTTGAGAGAGGAGACTAGAATGGGCTATTTTATAACAAGATGCTTATTCTTTCAGCTGATATGAGCAATGTTACCACTCCCCAAAGTAATCATATTTTAAAAAGAAACTTCTCTAGAACACTCTTGGCAATCTTCTTTGCTAGTTTTTGCCTTACTCCAAATTCTTGTTTCCTCTGAAGGTAGTATAAGGCCAGATAATATCTTCTCGTTGGAGCGTGACTATATTCATGGAATGACAGCCATATGCTTGAACATCAAAAAAAATAAAAAAAGCTCCCACAAGCTTTGCAATTTGAAGAGATCTTCTCAGTTATTGATCACACTGAAGAGTGCTTGCAGTTGTATGGAACAGCAGGATTAAACGTACCACAGCTCAGCTGACTCTCAATGACATCCATATCAAATAGGGGTCTGTGGGCCACTACCTAATCATGACTGTGGTCTTTCTCTTCCTTCCATTTGCTAAGTCCTGTCACAAGATGGATTAAAATAGTTTAAGCACTTTCTGTACACAGTCTTTCTCTAGTTGGTATTGGCATATTATGTGAGATGAATTAGGAAGCACAGAAAACAATTGCTCTATTAAAATACAGTCCATCTTAAAAAAAAAAAAAAGAATCCTTGCTACATCTGATAAAAGATAGGAGAAAAAAACAGAAATTGCTGTCAATTATACAAAATTTACTACACAGTTACTTCTCTGTAATCGTTGTTTCTCTGACTTGAATAGGTCTCTTCCACAGCGAAAGGGAGGGGAAAAGATTTTAAACGGTTCAAAAACTCAGAAGTTGGAAGGCAGATTGGGCAAAATCATGTAGCTTCAAGTACCCTATTTAGTGCACCAAGTGGCTAGTTGTAAGCTCTTCATTTAAATAAAATAGCTGTGTACTGCTTAATCTATACTTGTAAGTAATTATGATGTCATCAATTAGCTTTCTATGTAATAATAATGTATTATCTATCTTGCTACTAGAGCTAACTGAAAAATGCAGGAAAATGTAATGGAGGAGTTATGGGAATCATTCTAATGAGCAGTAACTAGAGCTAGTAATGTAAATTCTTGGTGCAGAGAGATTTCTGTTCTTTATTGTCATTTGCTCTTACTTTCACCCATCCAGTGAATGTGTGGGTTGCAGTTCTGTGTGTGTTCAGGAGTGAAGGATGAGTTAGTCTGGAGAAAAGTGTAGGTCTTCTCACCATAATTTATTGCAATTTTGGGGGTTGCTGGCATATGCTACTCAAATGATGTAATTAGGATCTCTTAAGAGTTTTATCTGTTCCCCTGAGTTTGCAGTTTTAGGGCCTGAAGGAGGCTGTTATGACGGTAC